AAAATAGTTTTTCATTTAACAGTTACTACAAATGTTGCCCTATGACAACGGTTAACAATCTCACAACACATCAACAATATCCTTACTCAATCTTGGGTTCCTTATCACCAGCTTCCTTGTCCCCCTCTGCCTTCTGGCCCTTGTCACTGGTTCTTTACGTCTTGTGTGTTCCATCCTCATAGGCAGTTTGCATGTTATTTTATAATCTTGGGAGTAGAGAAAAGGGCATGAAGCTGGAAAGAGGAGAAGTTGAACTAGGCTTTGAGATAACACCTTTGTTCATTCCTAAACTCATCCTTCAATTATAAGCAGTGTCTAAATGATGAGAATGAAGGCAGAAAAAAGTAAGCAGGCCAGTTGGCAAGGAGAAATTTCCTCCTTTAACTGGCTTTTTTTCTGGAAGTTGTTCTACTGGATAAGAGTTTTTCACGTGGTTTCTCATGTGTCACATGGAATTGAAAAAGTACAAATTCAAAATTTGTTGGTAAGGGGTCTTGAACTCCTGGCAACCAGCTAGAAAATGCTTTGAGGAAATAGAGAATAAGGGAGATGAACCAACTTGATGATGTAAAGTATGAAACATTTATTTTGGTGAAAAGGAACACTGCAAATAGAGCACTTCCTGTGGTAAGCTTTTTGAGACAATAGGGCTATAGCTATGAATGTGTATCTTGAGGACCTTATACAATGTTATTTGCCCTGATTGCTCAACAAATATTGTTGTTATTGGATACCATCAAGTTGATCTCGACTCATAGCAACCGCATGTGACAGAGTAGAACTGCCCCATAGCATTTTCTTGGCTATAATCTTTATGGAAGCACATTGCCAGGTCTTTCTACCATGGAGTTTCTGGGTGAGTTCGAAGCACCAGCCTTGCAGTTATCAGTCAATTGCTTGACTGTTAATACCACCAGGGCTCCTTTGCTCAATAAGTAGTTCTCATTAAATAATGAGATATGCAATAATTAAATAATGCACTGCAAATTGAAGACCACTTTATTTTAAATACTGTTTGTTTTTTTATATTACAAAGCTAATGTTATACATTGCATGAAATTTGGAAGATACCATTAAGTCAAAAGAAGAGCACACATTCATAATCCCACCACCCAGTGACACCACTGCTACATATTCTTGTCTAAAAATATGAGATCATAGTGTACATACTGGTTTAAACTTTTAACATTTTACCATTAGATAAAACTTTCTGATTCGACTTTTTAATGGTGGCTTAGGACTATATCTTATCAAACTTGTAATTTATGGAAAATTTTAAAATTGTAAGTAAACTGCAGTGGACATTTTTTAAATGTGAGCTTCTATTCATATCACTGTTTTCCTTTGGTAGTATTTCAGAAATTAATTGTATCAAAGAATTTGCAGGATTCTAAAACTTATTCTGATTTTCTAATACAGTTGCCCTCCTATACCAAAATACACTTCCACCGTTGGTGTTTAGATTGTTTCTTCAAACCTTCACTGACGCTGGATATTACATTTATTATTCAAGTTTTTGCCAATTTGATAGAATAAAAACCTCATGTAAATGTCTCTTATCAGTGGTGCATATTAACAGTTTTTAAAAATGTGTGTTTATTGTCTGTTATATTTTTAATAGGAATTCTTGTGTATGTGTCCTTTGCTCATTTTTTTATAAAGAAATGTTTATTGTCATAGTAATTTGTAACAACTTCTTTGTTATATGTATATGTTGTAAAATTTTTTTCTAGGTTGTCATTTCGTCCTTTTTATGTTATTTTTATCTACTAAAGATTTTAGCATGTATATAGCCAAATTTCTCATTTCCTTATGAAGTAATCCCAATACACAAAATTTTATTAAATACATATCTATTTTTCTTACATTTATGATTTTAGTTTTTACATGTAAATGTTTAATTTATCTAAAATATATTTAGAGATTTACAGCCTTTTGTCTCAGTATCATTTATTGCATAACTCTCTATTTTCTGTCACTATTTGAAATGTCTTCATAATATATATAGATTTACTTCTGGATCTTTTATTCTGTTCCATCGACCTATCTGCCTTTTCTTTCACTGCTATATTACTACTATATTTTTAAAATATTTCTCTTATACTACACTGTTTTTTCATAATTTACCTAGTTATTTTTATATGCTTATCTTTTCCTCAGGTGTTTTAGAATTATTTTTGACAAGCTCATTAAAAAAAATTTTTGGGTTTTGATTTAGACTGCACTGAGTGTATTAGCTTGTTATATTTGAAAGAAGGGAAGGGGACTCAAACAGGTGTTTGGATGCTTTAGTTTTTGATAGTATTTTCAGGTCTATTGAGGTTCCTACTTCTTTTTGAATCAGGTCATTTTTATTTTCTTAGAAGATTACTAGTTTATTGAGATTTTCAGATTTAGAAGCACAAAGTTGTAGGTGTAATTATTTTATAAATAAAAAAATCTTGTCTGCAGTTACATCCTTTTATTACAAAGCTAAGTGTGTATGATGAGTGACGAAAAAATAAGAAAACAACCTGTCAGGTTTTTAATATTTTTTTTAAGAATCTGCTTTCTGATTTATTATTTTTATGTTTTTAATTTAATTTCTTTTTAAATCATTAATGCTTTATTTTTTCTAGTTTTGTTGAAAACACCTCGAAGGCTATAAATTTTTTCTTAGTACAACTTTAGTTGCATCCCTTATATTTTACATACAGTGTTCTCGGAGTTTGTACTTTCTAAATTATTTGGTATTTGATTCTCTTTTTCACTAGAGTTATTTTGGGAGATACTTTTTTTTTCATTCTTTTAATTCCTTTTTATAAAACTTTTTTTTTTTTTTAATCCAAAGAGCTGTGTGTGTTTGTGTGTGGTTATTGTTCTAGATTTTTTCCTAATACTTTACTTATGAAAATTCTCAAATATACAGAAAAGTTGAAAGAATTTCATAGTGACTACTCATATACCTACCACCTTGGATCTCCCATTAACATTATATTAAACTAGTTTTATTACATTATCTAACTATCCATCATTCTGTTCATCAGTCCATCTTATTTTTTGGCTGCATTTTAAAAACTGTTAATATGCACCACTGATAAGAGACATTTACATGAGGTTTTTATTCTATCAAATTGGCAAAAACTTGAATAATAAATGTAATATCCAGCGTCAGTGAAGGTTTGAAGAAACAATCTAAACACCAATGGTGGAAGTGTATTTTGGCATCAGTATTTGTGTGTGTGTGTGCGTGTGTGTGTAAAGTGCTTTTAAATCATTTGGTGTTAACTATGTTTCACTTTTAAGTTTTCTGAATCATTTGTGCTATTGAAATATTTTCCAGCCTGCCACTGCTATACTGAACAGATGATAGTTTAAAAATGAAATGAACTATTTTTTATTCCAGTAGTGTTGCTGAACTTAAAGTTTCTGTAAATAACTAGCTGATAAAAATGACACTGAGCTATCCCTTTTTTGGGAGGGAGCGTGCTCTCTCTGTGTGTGTGTGTGTGTGTGTGTGTGTGTGTGTGTGTGTGTCTTTTAAAGAGATATATGGTAAATAGAATTTTGTTTTTTGTTTAAGCTAAAAGAGTTATTGAAGGAAACACAGTGTTTTGCTAATATAGTGGCTCTACTGTTTCCTTCAATAAGAAATCCAGGAATGAAAAAATTGTTCTAAGTTTTACATCTCAATACCTCCACTTCCACTGTTCCTACCCTTCACCTATGCAAAGAATTCTGTGTTGGACTGTTCAATAAAACACTAGCGCCTTAGCTTGAAATGAGAGTAGGGTTTGATCCCATGATTCTATGGAATTTGTATATAACAAATTCCAGAATGTTAAGAATCAACTATACTGAACCAGGAATTCAAAATTGCTAAATTGGAGAGGTAGGGACAAATAGAATACAATTAAATGCAGGATAAAAAAGGTAAATTTTAGAAACTTAGTGGTGGGGTGGCCAGGGACAAGGGAGGGGGGGGACTATTTGGTGTCCAGCAGAAGCAGGTCTAGTGATTATTATTAACAACATTCAAACTGTAATTCATTACTAGAATCTGGCATGTTTTTGTTAGTGGATTTTAGGTTAGTTGAAAGTTATCACACCCTCTGCAAGGATATAAGGTGAGGGATAGGAATATTTCATCAAAGAATACTGTCTTGACAGTTTTCTTTCATCTGCTTCTCAGGTTAGCAGTTTTGGTCACTAGGATTCCTAATGTCTGACTTGTTTGTTTCTTCTCTCCCTTGTTCTTGGGCCCAATTTTTAGTTTTCTTCTGCAATCTCTGCGTTCTAAATCAACACGTTGTGTGTTTCCTGTGCTCTTGTGTCTTTTTCTATTTCTTTTCTCTTTATTTCTTCGCAGTCAGAGCCTACTCCCCCCATCCCCACCCTCTTATGTTATCAACCCACCCAGTCCAAGCTGAAGGACTTTCTGAGGTATTAGGAAATACACGTTTTCCTGATAAAGTTTACATAATCTTTATATAGCTCTAATCATACTCTTACCTTCTTTATCTTTTTAAATACTTTTACCTTACATTTTAACCATAAATTCTGTTCGAATTAAGTGTTTTAGAGTCAGAGCATTCTTACCATGTATTTGATCCTCAAAGCTGTCATTTCAGTGTTAGTGGCATTTCTGTAAAAAATGGATGTTAACACTGTTTTATAAGGTGATTAAATCAGTGCTGTCCTTTTTTTTTTTGTTTTGTATGTCCTAGTTAAACGTGCTTATAGTTTGCAACACTACATTCAGAACCCATTGTTGTTATCGCTATGAGTTGGAATCGACTCG